ATCTAAGATTTTTTCATAGCTTTATATGATAAATTTAAGTTCTGTTTTCTTTTATTTTTAGGTGATAGTATCTGTTCATTCCAGTGTTGGTATCAAATTTTGGACAAGTTTCAATTATTATTTCACATTCTTTTATTCAAATATCCAAATAAATGGAATATGACATCAAGCTGGAGGACTAGATCCTGTTTTCAAACTTGTTTTTTGTAAAAATAGAAAATAACAACTTATTCTGTGTTGTTCTAATAAACACCATTGTTTTTGATATGTATATATTTTAATTTTATTCTTTGTTAAAATGTGTGCCTGGAATACTGAAATCTTTCAGATCAGCTAACAATACCTTTATAACTTATATAGCCAAGTGTTCTATCTATTTTTGTTCAGATTAAACAAATAATGGGTAAAATATTAGATAAAATTTTTTCCAAAAATATGAGCTTGCCTGTTTTCAAAGCATAAAAAGCAATAAAATAAAGCAAAAGTACTTATTTTTTATTTAAAACCTTTGGAATGCACAGCTTAATGTTTTCCACGAAATATTACAAAGTTTCCGTTCATTAAAATGTCGTTTTATCAGCTTTAAAACCAGATAAATCCTCGAAACACTCCTGATATATGTCGCCATATTGATTTTCTGCGCGCATGCGCAGACAAATTGCCTACCTGTTTAGCTGGTATAAAGACGTATGCACGTGACGAATTTCTTACTCAAGATTGGATAATTGCTTCATGAATTATTAATGAGTTTTTGAAGCATATTATAATAACATATTATAATAAACACAGAATCTAGTATATACCGGGTGGCGCAAAAAAAAGTTAACCTGTTTGATTTATTTTAACTTAAAAACTAAAAGAGCTATTACACCTAAACTACGTGCATTGCATTCAGTATTGTCTAACTTAAATTTTGATATACGCCCTGTGCAATTACGTACAATATTCACCGAGAGAGCTGCGTTTAAACTTGAATAAACATTTTGGGAAGTGTCGAGAATTAGCTAAAAACGGCCTGTCAAACTAATTTGATAACCCTTACCATTTTATCGTAAATATTCGTTTCAATGAAGTGATTAAGTTTAAATTAAAAATGTTTATAGGATGGAGGTGCTCTTTTATTTTTGTTTAAGGTCTTTGAGAATGCATGAAAATTAATTTATGAAGCGATTTTGATTAAAAGATTTATTCTAAATATCCAATGACCCTAGCTGGGAAATCAAATTCTAATGTTCCAAGAAAGAAACGTCAAGTGTTTTTTTTTATAAATACGCCTCGTTTAATTAACGAATGACCAAAGAGTTTTGATATGTTTAGAATATGTAAGGGTAAATAATGCTCGTGAGGTTATACCGGCGGCGTTGGGCAGGTCTCTGACAACGAACGTGTACTTTCTGACTATAGTGCGTCTAAGCACAGGTTATTGCTGTATTAAATATTTGATAGGCTGTTTTTGGCTAATTCTCGTCACTTTCAAAAACGTTTACTCAGGTTTAAACGCAGCTCTCTCGGTTAATATTGCACGAAAATGCACAGGGCGTATATCAAAATTTAAGTTAGACAATACTGAATACAATGCACGTAGTTTACATGTAATAGCTCTTTTAGCTTTTAAGTTAAAACAAATCAAACAGGTTAACTTTTTTTTGCGCCACCCGGTATAAACACAACTAATAATATAGATAGAAGCACATTGTTTCATGCATTTACACCTGTATGTACACTTATTCAGCACATGCACTGATTGCATAAGATCATAGAGAATCCAGAAGACAGTCTTCTGGATTGTCTATGATAAAATCAAGCATGCCGGTCAGATTTCAGTCATGAGTCTATATAGAAAGCCCCTTTGATTTAAGGGAAGAAACTGAATTAAATAAAACAAAAGTTTCTGTATTTTCTACGACAAAACATTAAAAAGGAGCTTGTTATCTAATGGATTATGTTCTATAACATTTACTCCCACTATCTTTTAAAAATTAACAATAAAAGCATACGATAGTATGTGAAATATTTACCTGTTTTATATAGCTGAAACTTAATAGCTCTGCCCTGGTATCAAATATCGCCTTTGCCTAACTTTCTCGAGGTTTTCATATTGATTTGTTGTCTTTCGCGGGTGAGAATAGCGTGCACGACTTTTAAATCTTTGAACCAATGGTCAAAAGTCGAAAAAATATAAAAAAAACAACGAGAATTTGCTGCAATAACTTTGAAAAGCAAAAATATTTTTGATGAACCAGGGGTGTGTGAAAATCGCAGCGAGCTCAGAATTGAGCCTGGTCAGTGGTAATTTCATGAGCCGGCGGAACCAGTTTTATTTTTATTTATTAACTTTGCCGGCATAAAATTACACAGAGTGGCCGGGACACCGCAACAGCTTATTGCCAATTACTGCGGGCCCAATTGGATACAATCAAACAAGCAACAGACATTCAACTGGACAGACTAACAAACCTACGAACAAACAATATTAGTTACTAAAAGCAGCAGGATATCGGATATGTAAGACTTCGTACAGACTTACATTTCAGGCATATAGTTTCAAATGTTCGAGGATTATCAGGATTATAATTAACTTCTAAAGATTTGTGATAGTATTCCAGTAAGGCTGATCTAAAGGAATTGAAGCAGTTCGTGTCATAATTTAGTTCATCTACGAAAGAGTTCCATATTCGACACGTTCTGACAAAAAACGACTGCTGGTAGGTATTGGTTTTACATTTGCGGACGACATATTTACCGTTATTACTTGCTGATGATCGTGTCGTTCTTTGCATAATATGAATGTCTGCAGGAAGAGCAGACATTTCCACCAAACCGTGTGTGATTTTGAAGAAGAGGCTCAGGTCTGGGTATTCATGCCAGTAGGATACGGGAAGAAGATGCAAGGATTGTAATCTTGTTTTATAGTCTACGTCTGTCGAGAATGGCAAGTTCAAAATATATTTTGTTGCCCGCCTCTGAGTTCTTTCTAAAATGTCAATAAGTTCAATCGTCTGCGGTGCCCAAATCTGGGAGGCATACCCGAAATGAGATCGAACCAGTGCAAGATACAATGTTCGTCTTGGTGCAGTACTTTTGATGAACATGGTATTTCTTCTTATATAGCCTAACAGTTGGTTTGCTTTTGACGCCTGATGGTGAACTTGCGTTTTCCACGTAAGGTTTGATGCTATACATACACCAAGATCTCTTTCAGTGTCGGTTGTGTTTAATTGGTGATCGTTTATCATATGATGATGATGTTACTGGTGTAATCTTTCTCGTTATTCGTTGCTGCTTGCATTTCTTTTCATTGAAGGTCAAACCAGATACAGATGACCAGTGTTCTAAGTTTCTAAGATCACTTTGAAGTAACATAGCATCGTCCTGACATTTGACAGATGAAAATAACTTTGTGTCGTCTGCAAACATGGCTACTTCGCTGGTCTTTACTGAATCACGAAGATCGTTGACATACAGCAAAAATAGCGCTGGTCCAAGAATAGAGCCCTGCGGGACACCTGATGATACAGGAAGTGTGTTTGAGGTACAACCAAGTACCGTTACACGCTGACAATGATCCGATAAGTATGACTGAAACCACTTTAGTAAATTACCACCGAAGCCGTAATTTCTCAGTTTAGTAATTAATTTCGTATGATTAATCCGATCAAAGGCTTTAGACATATCGAGATAGATCGTATCTACCTGTCCCCCATTGTCCAGAATCCTGCCAATATAGTCAATTGCCTCTAAAAGATTTGTTACACATGATTTACCTCAAAGAAACCCGTGTTGACACTTGCAGATGATCTGGGACAAATGGCACTTGATGTTCATAAGGACACAACATTCTAGCTGTTTCGAAACAATCGATAAGAGTGAGATAGGTCTGTAGTTTTCGCAGTGATCTTTTTCACCTTTCTTAAATACAGGTACAACATTTGCTAGCTTCCATTCTTCTGGAACCGTGCCAAGACGTAATGATTTATTAAATAATTTACAAAGAGAGGGAGCAATAATGGAGGCAGTCACTTTGAGTAGTCTGGCTGGAATTTCATCTGGACCGGTTGCTTTGTTGCTATCGAGGGTTTTAAGTAAACTTTCAATTTCCAGTTCGTTTACAATTACTTCAGATATGAATGGGTCAGTACTTAGTTCTTCAGATTGATCAGATAAGTTGTCTGTTGCAAATACTGATGCAAAGTAAGTATTGAACATATTGGCTATTTCAGCTGGTCTTGTGGCGCTAGGTCTAATGTGAATTTGATCGGAGGAGTTGAGTGCTGCAGGCATTGAAATGACATCGGGGATGCTGCAAGTTTTTGATTTATGTTTAAGGACAGACCAAAAGCGCTTGGGATTGTTAATAAAGTTGTTGTTAACCGAGGAGAAGAAATTCTCGCGGCTGTCACTAAGTAACCGTTTAACTTTAGAACGCATTCTCTTGTATTTCTCGTGAAGATGTGCAGTAGGAGTGGCTTTCAATCTTCGTCGAATAGAGTCTTTTTTCTTAATTTGATAGAGAATATCGCCGTTGATCCATGGTAGCGGATTTCTACCTTTCAATTGCTTCTTAGGGATGAATTCTGAAACGATTGAAAGAAAAGTGTCCTTCCAACGCTTCCAATCGGTATTAATGTCATCACACGATTCTAAAATGGTTGTAGATAAGTCTATTTCACGTAAGGCAGCACAAAGACCAACCATGTCACCTTTCGTATAGTCGTATACAGTTCTGACCGACTTCCTTGGTTTTTTGATAAATGCGGAGAAATCGAATGAGATAGTATGATGGTCAGTAAAAATGGATGTTTCTTCCGGAGACAATATCTGTGTCACATTGACATGGTCTGGAGCATTTGTGATAACAAGGTCTAGTATGTTATTTCCGCGTGTAGGAGTGTTGTTGAGTTGAAGTAGATGATGATCATCCAGTAACTCAAGGAAGGAAAGTTCGTTAATACCAGCGGCTTTTTCTATCGATCTCCATGGGATGTTTGGAAGATTGAAGTCTCCCGCAATTACAACGTTTTCGTAGAGGTCACAGATTGTATCCAGAAAGATCTTAAATTTATCCATCCAACCCAGGTCAGCACTAGGAGGACGATAGCAACAACAAAATAGAATTTTCTTGTCAGTAACAGTTCCCAATTCAGTTGATACGATTTCTAAATCTTCAAATTCCTCTCCATTAGGTGAGAACTCCTTCACAGATTTAAAAGAATCCGTTTTAATCGCTACAAGGACTCCGCCACCGTATCGGTCTTTACGATCTTTTCTGTAAATGGTGAATCCGGAATGCAAAATTTCCTCATTAGATATAGAATTATTCAACCATGTCTCGTAAATTCACACAAATAACATCAGAGTTTTCATTATATACAAGGTTTTGAAAGCGCTGAAGATTACAAACTGGCTGATTAGACACTTCATCTCGGTTAATACTCTTTAAACTTCTTGCATTGAGGACTAAGCTCTTCAACTGGCTGTTTTGAGAACGAATTTCAGTTGAGATGCAGGCATGTCCAGGATTAGTTGCTATATCACCAGCGAATAGAATACACAGGAGAAGGTGCAAATTACTATTCGCAATGTTAAATTGAAGGCCATATCTGTGATTAGACATGAGAGGGAAAGTAGACTTACGTAAAGTATTATCGCGCGTGGAAGACCAAAGACAACACAATCGATTTGATATTGACACTAGTTCTGGGGAAATGCTACAGATATTCTGGGGAAATGTTCTGTCGTTGGGTTGAATTTCTGATGGTTTTGATCTTATTGATAACCAGAAAGTTAAAATGAGAAAGAAGAGATATCCAAAAACTTTATTGAGCATTTTATTGAAGGTTATTTCACTTGATTTAAACTTCATTGCAAAAGATAGTTGTTGCCATGGAGAGCGACGCCAGACGGGATTTAAATTTCAAAAGTACCAACGGACGAAAATAATTAATGTTGAATATAATGAATAATACATGAACAATACAATTAAATAACGCCAAAATTATACAAAATAACCACAAAACGATTCGTAGATCACACAGCAAGATTCAGACGAAAACGACAAACGACGACAAAGATATTGTTCATTAACCAAAATTCACAGTTGTAGCGCAATAATAATACGATAGTAATACGATCCAACAAACCAAAATAACTTTACACCACGATACAAATCCAGTTTAAAATACGATGAGAGGATGCACAAAATCCTTAGCTTTAATTAAATATAGTGCTTAATATAATAGCTGAGAAATTAACTGAAAATTTTTATATTTAAGCGGAGCTCGCTCAAGCGTAAACCTAACTTATTGACCTTAACCAGTAAATGTACGCAAGTGCGAGTAAAACCCGACATTTTGAAAAATTCAAAATAAATATTTCTACTCGCCCTATTCAAACAAAATTTTGTACACGAAAGCGCTTGAATACAAAGAGTATTTTTGCACATATAGCCGTTCAGCAAATGACGAAATGTTCAAGAGATATTCAAGATCTTGTGTATATGAAATTTAGAATCTTTGGCCAAGCGGTGAATAAATATATGATTGTTTCGGTTTGTGTAATGTTCAGACGGCACTTGACCCCCGTTTGAAAGGTTATTTTGTGAGGATTACAATGGTGGTATTTATTTATAAGGGGGGTAAATACACGCCGAGATATTTATATTAGAAAAATCGTGTCGTAATATGATGCGAAAGGGGGTGGTCGAAAAAGATATTTATTAAGGAAAGGATACAAATTCGCCATGCAGTGAATTTAATTACATAAGTCACTGATATAGACCTACTCAGAAGATGACATTATTTACCCAGACAGATAATTAGCTATCCATAATTTTATTGAACAAAAATGGTAGTCGACTTTGATAATTTGCCTTTCTTAGACCTTCTATCTCAATGTAATGTTAATAATTTACTGTTTAACAATGATCCTGATGTTAATATACCTCAGCAAACAAATTTTGCTGATTATACTCTTGTAGAATTTCAAAATAATATCGAAATTGCAAATTGCTCCTCTACAAATTATTTTTCAGTCCTGCATACTAATATTAGAAGTTTGAATGCTAATTTGGATAGTTGTTGCATATGCTCACAGAAATGGATCACCTATTTTCTTTAATCGGTGTGAATGAAACTAAAATTAAAGACTCTAGTGTAGTTTTAAATAATAACGAAATACCTGGTTATTCATTTCTATCACAAACCGACCTTATCAAATGCTGGTGGGGCTGTAATTTATATTTCTGATAAATTGAAATATTCTATTAGAGATGATTTGTCTGAGTCAACAATCGGATATGAAGCTCTGTGGATTGAGATTAAGAGTGATCTAAAAGATGACTTAGTTCGTGGAGTTGTCTACAGACATCCGAAAAGTAACCTTGACGAGTTTATGAACTATCTAAACCAAACTATTGATAAATTAAATAGGGAGAATAAGTATTGTGTTTTAATGGATGATTTCAACTTAAATCTCTTGAATTCTGATTTACATAAAGATACTGAAGCATTTCTCAATACTTTGGGTTCATATTTCTACAGTCCACATATCCTACAACCTACTATAATAACCAGGGGCGGATCCAGGATTTTTCGTACGTTAGTCAAAGTTTTCGGATGTACAATCTAGTTTTGCGAGCGGCGAATGCGCGAGGCACCTAGGGGGGTCTGTCCCCCAGGAATTTTATATTTTTAAACCTCAGAAATGCAATTTGCATCACTCTGAAAGCAGCTTCAACAAAAAATTAACTTCATGAAATGGGAGATAATAATAGCAACTATCAGTCTGACTGACTCTCACAGCTCCTTTAATAGGGAAAAGTAAAGGGGAAGCACTTGCAGAAATGTGATAATTGTGGAAGATGTTTCATTTTATCAAATTACGGGTTGCTAGTATTATGTTTAACTATCTCATGATAGTACTACAATCATTTCTGTTGCCTAATAGCCTTGTTGAGTCATTGATCACTTGACTAGTAACACTACAGTGTCATATTACTCCAATAAACATATATCAATATTAATCATCTATAAAACCTGACCTTTATATCCTATGTATACTGCATTAATGCATTTATATAGGTTATCCTCTATATTAATAGCCTTCTGAGTTCTGACGGTCCTTCAACCGCAGAATTACAAATATGCAAATTTGTTGTCTAAATCAAAATTCATAGCTAAATCTAAATCAAGATACGCGTATTCAAGTTACAATTTTACATATGCATGGCGCGCATCTTGCTCGCTTATAAATATTGTTATGCTGTCTAAAACGAATTAAAATTTACATATCACATTAAATTTACCTTAATACACTTCAGAATAAAGATCTCGGCGCCAATACTTCTACTCAAACCGTCAAACTGTAGTTCGTGCTATTCGTGGCGCTTACGCCGCTTAGCAACTGCTCACTGAATGGAACTCTCCGATATTTAGTGTCGATTTTCCTCCCAAGATCAGCGCAACAGTCTTGTAAGACAGCTAAATCATTCACCGCAAATGCGGATTGAACTGTTTCGTGAATACTACAAGGAATGGAGTTTGGAGCAGCAGACATTTCCGAATTTTCCGTAGATATCTTTAAATTGAATCTTTCGACAAAGATCCAACATGACACTTCGAATGAGCGCGCGCTCGGAAAGACTTTTCCACGCGTCAAATATTAATGATATTCCGACTAATGGGGCGCCCCTAACTTTTGTAAATCGGTCAGAACTCCCCACAGATCAGTCAAAATCGCAAAAAATCGCTTGTTTCCATGGCAATAAGCGTCTAGACCAATCAGAATACTGGATTTTGACTTTTTGACTGACCGACTTTGCGTATGTCAGCTGGTCATTGACTTGACTAAGCTCGTCGGCTCAACCACCGTATGAAATTTGATCACTGGACTACAGTTCGATTGGAATGTTAATTGCTAGCGCTGCATGATAATAGATACTGGACTATTATAAGGTGTCGCTGCATGATAAAAAATAACTGGACTATTGGTCGAATATTTAAGACTTTAATTAATTAAGTTTGCGATTTTTACGTTAGTCGCGTGACTGGTTTGACGACCCCTAGATCCGCCCCTAATAATAACAGATCATTCTGCAAGTTTAATCGATAATCTATTTTTCAATTCAATATCGCATCATACTATTAGTGGTGATATAATCGATGACTTATCAGATCATTTACCAAATTTCCTTATTATTAATAAATTTACTTCTTTGTTATGTGGCTTCAAAATATACAAAAGAGATTTCTCTAAATTTAATAGAGATAATCTTCTGAATGATATTCGGTCAGTCAACTGGAATTCTGTGACTGCAAATGATGATGCCAATAAAATGTTTAAAACTTTTAATGATGAGTCGTCGATAATTATTGATAGATATGCCCTACTGCGGCATTTGAGTAAAAAAGAAATTAAGTATAAATCTAAACCTTGGATAACAACAGGTATACGAGTTTCTATAAAAGCCAAAAATAATTTCGATAAAAAATATTTGAAAACAAAGTCAATATACTATCACATTAAATTTAAATTATATAGAAATAGATTAAATCGCCTAATTAAAAATTGTAAAATTAATTGTTACCGAGATTATTTTGCATCAAATACAGCTAATATGAAAAACCTATGGAAAGGAATTAAACAAATTATCAGTTGTAAATCATCGAACAATAAAAATATAGCCTCAAAAATATTGATTGTTAAGTCTGAATTAAGTAACACCAAATCCATTGCAAATGCATTTAATGATTTTTTTGTAAACATTGGGAATAATTTGGTTTCAACTATAAACTCTACAGATTCCCCAATAAGTTTTATGCCTGAGCCACAAATTAATAGTTTATTTCTAGAATATGTTACATCTAATGAAATAATAATAGAAATCAATGGATTAAATGCCTCTAAAGTCACAGGTCCCTTTAGCATACCTATAGGCCTAAGTATTTTTAAAACTATAAATGAGTCATTTGCAGAGCCTTTGGTATCTATATTTAACTGCTCTATGCATATACTGGTACAACTCGAGACAGTTTTAAAATAGCTAGAAAAATCCCTGTTGATAAAAAGGGTTCAACGATGACCTTAGGAAAATATCGCCCCATTTAACTTCTTTCAATATTTAATAAGCTGCTTGAGAAATTTATGTTTAAAAGAATAATTAATTTTATTAACCAGCAAAATATACTATATAATAAACAATTTGGGTTTCGTGCGAGATATTCTATATTACATGCAATTCATTCAATAACAGATAAAATACAGAAAGCAATTGAGAATGGACAGTATTCATGCGGCATATTTCTAGATCTATCTAAAGTGTTTGATACAGTAAACCACCACATCTTACTACAGAAACTTGAACATTACGGAATAAGAGGTATGGTATTGGAATGGTTTAAGTCATATTTAATTAATAGAAGATAATTCGTCAGTGTAGGTAGTGTACAATCAGAATTACAGTATATATCCTGTGGAGTTCCACAAGTTCAGTTCTTGGACCTCTTCTGTTTTTGCTATATGTTAGTGATTTCCAAAATAGCACAACCATTTTAGATGTCAATCTTTTTGCAGATGACTCAAATCTTTTTTATGCTCATAAGAACTAGAAACTTTGGAATCTGTTGTAAATGATCAGATAGCTACTGTACATCGTTGGCTATGTGCATATAAGCTCTCTCTCAATATTATATCATATTTATCAACTATATCATATTTCATTCCTCCAGAAAACGAATTAATTACCAGGTTAATTTGAAGATTCACGATTATGCATTGAAACAAATTTATGACACTAATTATCCAGGTGTGGTATTTGACTGTAATTTAACTTGGAAAAGTCATATTTCGAGTCTCTCCAAAAAACTAAACGTAATATTGGTGCCATTTCCAAGGTTCGACATTACGTAGGAACCAACATATGTATCAACCTTTACTATTCATTGATTTATCCCTTTTTAATATATGGTCTAGTAATTTGGGGAAACACTTATTCTTCATCAATTAATCCTTTATTTATCTTACAAAAAAAAGTTGTTCGACTGATAACCTTCTCTAACTTTAGGGAACATACTAACTCTCTTTTTGCTGAAATGAAAATCTTAAATTTCATGATCTTGTTTCTTTTCATACTGCAATATTTATGTATGACTATTATAATGGCTTATTACTGGAAACATTTAATGCTTTTTTATTTCTGTTAATGAAAAACATAAGTAGTGATACCCCCACTCTGGCGACGGAAGTAATTAGTATGCAGTGCTCGTAACCTCATTATGTATTCATTATGTCTTACTCCTTCACGACCTTCATCCCTAATTATATATAAAAAGCATTAATTATGCCTACGTCATCATTATGTATTCATTCCGAATGCCGTCCGCAGAATAATATTTTGGGCTCACTTTTTTTCGAATTTGCCTTGTAACCAAGCCTGATCCAAGATAGCGGCCATCAGTTGCTAAGCAACTTACCTTCATTTTTACCGCAAGAAATTCGACGGAAATACCACTTCGATAATTTCGGTAAACCGCATTTTGGACTGAATTTAAAGAGACAAGCAATAAGATAAGACATCGAAAAGGCAAAAGCGAAGATTTTAACCGAAGAACCGACTCAATTGATGTTTCAGGTACTGCGCTAGTACGTTTAATAGTTCTGGCTCATGAGTCAACAAGTTTTATATACAACTGATATACACTATAAAATATTAAAATCGCATGACATTGAATATTTGTGAAATTCCTCGATATTTTTATCGGTTTTTTTTTGCATTTACATTTTGTGGTTTTTCTATTATTTCTATACAAAGTATTCTACTGTTCAAGGGTGTATACATTTATCAATATTTTATAGTGTATATATCAGTTTTTATAAAACTTGTTGACTCATGAGCCAGTACTATTAAACGTACTAGCGCAGTCCTTGAAACATCAATTGAGTCGTTTCTTCGATTAAAATATTCCCTTTGTTTTTTCGATGTCTTATGGTATTGTTTGTCTTTTTAAATTTAGTTAAAAATACGGTTTACCGAATTATCGAAGTGATATTTCCGTCGAATTTCTTGCGGTAAAAATGACGGTAAGTTGCTTAGCAACTGATGGCCGCCATCTTGGACCAGGCTTGGTTACAAGGCAAATTCGAAAAAGTGAGCCCAAAATATTATTCTGCATGCCGTCCGAAGGTGACGTCATCCCAATCCGTCGCCGAGCGGAGGACTGTGTGCACACGTGATGTCATAATGATATGCAAGGCGAGCCTGAGCAAGAAAGTCATTAAACTGAGGTCAACATTTCTATCACAAAAGTAATCGCTTTTTTAATGCTGTAGCTATGTTAGCGTCGCTACAAATGACAACTGTGTGGAAATTTTCATCGAACACATGGAAGGACAATAACGAAAGTCATTAAGGCGGGCAGCTTCTGGCGCAACGGTCGTTAGCTTATGTCTCGAGCTCATTTTATTTTTAAACATGGAAGGCAAAGCATCTGTGTTCACTTACTGGAAGCCATTTATATCCATGCAATTCAGAATGAAGTTAATAAAATCAGCGAAGACAACTGCTACGGTTGTAAAGTCGGTCATCCTAGTCAAAGAAACCATGGGTGTCTTATGATGGATGACGAAAAAAGATGGTTGTTTTCTACAACGGACGCAGTTATGCGAATTTATTGAAGCAACAAGAGTATTGAAGATGACCCATCGCGAAAACATGCGTACACATTTACAGCAGCTGGAAAGCATCGATGACCCCATGTTATTGAAATCATTGAGAGAACAGCATTTAACGGAAGAAAATCGAAAACTTCAATGTATTTTAAATTATTTGTCATACTGGAGAGACGACGCTTGCAAGTTTGGGCAAGCTTCATCTACGTAACAAAACTTATAGTTATCGCATAATAGGTAATTAGTTTTTCTATACATTAATCGTTAAGCAATGCATCGCGCCTGTTCATTTAATCACTGTCTCTCAAACGAAATGGAGTGCCTACACGAAAAACCAACAGCCTCTTCGACAACACAACATGGAACATTTTGGTTTTGTGGTCAGAAGCCTAGCTGTAACTTTTTCTGTCCAGACGAAGACAGTTACATGATGACAAAGGCCGTAGAATCGTTTCGCAAAAGTGGTAATCTTCAACCAATATGTCCTGCTCATCAGAAACATGCCAGGATACGTATTGTTAAAGATAAGATGAAGCTCAGTTATGGTCGACCATTTTTCGTCTGCGCTGAACGAGAAAACCCGTGTACGTTTTGGCAATGGGGTGATATATTTCACAATCCTTCTCCGAGATGCAGTCATGGCTTGGTGTTTCGAAGTCGCAAAGTCAAGAAAGAGGGTCGAATCAAAATCGTCTCTTCTACTGCTGTGCGAAAGAAAACGATGCCTGTAATTTATTCGAATGGAAACCAACCAGGGATTCGCCATCCATTCAGAACTTGGGAGTGCTGTTTACCAACCCGCTACAATATTAGTATAAAGTAGCAGAAACTGGAGAGACATTTACTAGTGGAAAAGTTGACACTAAGGACGCGTATGAAGAATACTTGTTCTTTAAATCTGTAAATGCTCTAACAAATGAGTTTAGTTAATTATCGATCGCTTGATAAATACATATTATGCATTCCGTTTCTTAGGAAATATGAATAACTGTAATCCTGTAGCCAAATAAATGTTTATAGCATCGCATACAAGTGTACTTTCTTTATTCCTGTTCAGATTTTTGTCGCCTAAAGATGGCTCATTTGGATATTATCTGTGATGAGTTAAAAAGAAACAAAATTGATATTGACTGGCAAAACTTATCGTTTCATATCAATACTATACTTGACGAACACGAAAATTTATTTCGGGGAATGTGCATTTCTGATTTTGAGCAGCTCTACAGCAGGGGCGGATCTAGGATTTTTCGTACCTCAGTCAAAAATTTTGGCGGACGGGGCGTTGTCAGCGCGGGGCGTTGTCAGCGCTGGACGTGGTCTCGACTGTGCGTGAAAAACGTATTTAGGTTAAATTTAAATTGATAAACTCAAACGAACATTTGATTCTTATCCATTGTAAGAAAAACTACAAATGCACAAAGATATATTGATCCTATTCCAATACAAAATTTTATGGCTATATTACTATCAGCAGCAATTTAATAACATGATTGCCTGTGGATTAATCAATCGTCGTCATATTGATACTATACCTATAAGTGTATCATTGTAAAACTTGTAAAATCATATGGCAGCAAATGCATTAAGGAAATATACTGTTCTGTTACCAAAAACGCAGAACTATACAAGTAATTGCTAGTAGCCTCAGATGCAAAAAAAACAACCAGATATTCATTAACTAAGTCAAACACTATTACATTAACAAGATATAAAGATGTTATGTCAAATCTTAATAAACTAGTTACACGAGAATGGCTACCAGTCAATGAGCTTTTCAAGCTAGCTTATTAAATATTTCACATCATCATGTTACACCAGACCAATGCGGTCTAACAAGCCGTGTCGATAGACTATGGACAAACAGTATTCTATAAGGCCGACATAAATATAAATAAATCTTAAATAAAACTTCACTATAAACACGAGAATCAACAAATGCTTACAATTTGGACATTGAATAAAACATATTTTAGCTTCTTGACGCGAGAATTATGCTAATACAGCATAGCGAATATTAAAATATCATATGCCAAACAATCATTAGCAACACCGACGGCTTTGGTTCTTCGGTTTAATTAATATAAACTCTATACATCATTACAAAATCTCTACCTTATTGCAGTGCAGGCTTTGTCTTTCTTATCTCGAACATACTTCGGAATGTAACTCTCTGCGCCAAAATTTCTAGCGAGGCTTCTGCTTGTGTTGTTGATGGCGCTCACTTTGCCGTTCAGTAGCTCGTCAACAGAATTTGTCCGTGAAGCATCGATATTCTTCTCAAGCTCCGTATACAAACGTTGTACAGATTCTAAATCGTTTGCCGCAATTGCAAACTGAATATTGTCGAAAATGTTTCCAGATATCGCTGGCAGAGATCGCTCGTAAAAATATAATAGTAAAATTTCTCACATGCCAGACGTTCGAAATAGTAAACATTCAGGAGGTATAAAACACCAAATGCCGTGTTGACGAATACCCCACGCTGCTAATCCGTCGAAAATATAAGCCAATGACAGTGCAGAATATTTTTAAATGGTTCAATCAGAAGACTCTACAGAGCCCCTGAATCTGCAAATCCGTCAGGCCTCCCCACAGATCCGTCGCAAATGGCTGTAACCATGGAAATGAGGGCGTCAGCCAATCAGATAGCCGGATTCAACCCCCGAATCCGTCAACATTCATGCGTAAGACCGCTGTTTGCGACTGACTAACATTACTTTGCCGAAGCTCTGCCGCAGCATGAAACGTATAACTGGACTACGATTCAAAATTTTAGTAACTCGATCTACTGGCCGCTATACTCCTATAGATAGCTGGAGTCGAATATTTTTAATTAAGTAGGCAATTTTTACTTCAGTCGCGCGACTGACTTGATGACCCCTAGATCCGCCCCTGCTCTACAGAGGGATTTGTGTTAAAAACTATGGACGACTCTTTGCTTATTTAGCTGTCGTCAGTTTACATTGTTACAGTGAAAATAATATTTGTCGAAACGTACGAAGAGCTATTGGGGCATTTCAAAACATATACATTCCAAAATACAAACGAGTCAATAAACGGAAAATGTTCATAATAACTACTCTCACTTTTATCGCTATATATGCGAGTCTATAACGACTGTCTTGCTCATTTTGCTCAAGCCTTTGAGGTGGAAGGATTATGCCTTGTTGTGGTAAAAGTCTTCCAAAGATTTCCCTCCGAAACATTTTTCGAAAAGTGCGCTATATTTCTGCTTGTTGTGGTGGTAAAATTATAATACAGGACTCAGATATTGATGGCGGAGAAATATCTAGCCGAGCTGTATTACATTCCTGAAAGTCCCTCAAGCTTTGGTGGCGTCGATTCTATATATCGTGCCGTAAAAAGCGAAGGCAAACATCAAATATCGCGGAATAAAATACGAACATGGCTTCGAAAGCAAGATAACTTATATCCTACATAAGCCTGTAAGATATCGTTTCAAGCGGAACCGTGTTATAGTAGGAGCTATCGATGAACAGTGGGAGGCCGATCTAGTAATTATGGATTCGTTAGCAAAATACAATAATAACTACAGATATATTTTAACCGTGATAGATGTACTTAGCAAGTATGCATGGGTTGAATCGATCAAAGCAAGAACGGGGGAAAATCTGGCCAGTGCACCGCAAACCCGAAACGTTTTACTCGGATAAAGGTACGGAATTTACCAACCAAAAATTTAAAACCTTGTTAAAAAACAAGGTATTCGGTTCTTTACAACGCAAAATGAAACAAAAGCATCAATCGTAGAAAGATTCAATCGTACGCTTAAGGGGAAAATGTGGAAATACTTTACAGCAAATAACACGTTAAAGTACATGGACATTCTCCAGAAACTGGTTAAGTCCTATAATCACTCGCGACATCGCAGTATTGGTATGAGACCCGTTGACGTGAACGAAACTAATGAGAGCGTTGTATGGCAAAAACGTTACGGCGAAGAATCCGAAAAACCCGTTCGATTTAAGTTCGATATTGGCCACCAAGTACGGATCAACAAGACAAAAAGAACATTCAAGAAAGGCTACTTACCAAACTGGACCGAAGAAGTGTTTAGCATAACGAAACGCGTAACTCGGCGGCCACCTGTGTACAGAATTGCTGATTACGATAACGACGAGTTACACGGAACGTTCTACGAACAGGAAATGCAGGCATGCGTAATAAACGCAGGGAATATTTTGTAAAATGGTTAGGATACCCTGAAAAGTATAATTCATGGGTACCAGCAGAAAGTGTAAAAGAGTTATAAATACATGTCATTGAAACTTACCATCATTTCTGTTCAAGCGTTCATTATGTCAACACAGTTTTATCTCACATTTCCAAGTAATAGCTCCATGAAATATTTTCCCCAAAATACGGTGACTAACTTTCGGGTAAAATTAGCCAACAGGATAGTGTTACGCGGGCAATGGGAAGTAGCATTGACTGGACTCCACTATCCGCACACATATCGTCAATGATAAATAAATTAGAGTCCGAACGTTTTTGGGACATCAGCGAGCTTCATAGGAATGAAGCATAGGGAATCGATAAATTTTATATTTAGTTCTGAAACAGTAAGAGAAAGGACTTTTGTACCTCGTGTGATCATTTGTGGAGTGACACCTTGCTTGTAAAGGTACTATAGTATTAAGTATCGATCGTAGGCTTGTAGGTTATGGGCGATGAAGGTGGTCTTTGCATGTTGCGGCTGGAATAGCCACTCACAGAACTCATCATTGTTATTTGGGCCAGAAAAGACAGTCTCATCCCCGCTTTCGTTTTGAACGACGCAGAGGTTAATTCGGGATGTGTTTTCCACCATACTGCAAACACTCGAAGTCAAAGAACATGAGATTGCACTAATCTTCTGTGACAGCGTTATCCACCTCTACATCATCGTCAAGAAGGTCGTTTCGTCGTCGTTGCTGTTCGGGTTCCCAACGGGTTGAAGGAAGCATCGGTGCCCTTCTGGTTTCACGTGTTTCTTACAGGTGGAACATCTTACCTTACCGCAATTATGATCGTTAAGGCTGGCCCGAGTTACGAGAAGATGACGTCTCTGGCACTTGACAAGGGACCGACATATAGACTTGGCGGAGCCGTCGTCACATTTATGGCGGTCGTAGCATTCCTGACTTTTATAATATCGATTACAGTCGTTACAATGTTTCCATTCCAAAATGGGGCAGGTTTGCCTGTGGCATAACATACATAGGTCGCCACAAGAGTGGTCGATGATCTTGTCATAACCTTTCTTGCATTTATGGCAATACTGCTTTCGGGAAAGAAAGGCAAGCATGCTGGTTATAATATCGTAATGGTTATTGTGGTGGTATAAGTAAATGTGTTTCTCGGCTTCGGGACCAGTATAGATGAGGGCGTTTAGGTATTCTTTGGATACCACGTTCAGTTGGTATCCAGGGAGAGCCTCCTCGAACTTCTTGATTTCTAAGATTCCGCAAGGCCCGAGGGGAACACCAGCAGATTCATGGAGTTGGTGAGCAAGACGTGCTTGCAAATGTCTTTGATGGCGGGCAATATGTTTGTATTGTGGGTCTTTATCATATTTTGCTTTCGCCACGACAATGGCACGAGCACAGCACATATCGTCCTTGTTTTTTATTTGGACAATACAGTCCTTCTTGGTCAGATAGGCTTCTAGGTTGATAACATCACGACGTTTTCGACCGGAGCCATGGGGGCATTTCTACATGAATGACGTTCACATTGAGGGAATCGTCCAGGGTGAATTGATCGTTTGACTGAACAACTTTTTCCACAGCGGCCAGGAAGCGTTCAGGAGTTAAACTATCTCGAGGAAGAAAGGGTAATGAAATGGGCCTATCCAGCTGGGGGGAATTAATGACGAAGCGAACCTGATCTTGGGGAGACATGCCATTAGTCATGCGGTCAAACAGATTACGGAAAGTACGGTGCAATGTGGGCATGACATTCGATATGCCATGCACGTCCAGGGGATTAAATTGGACCGTGTAATCAATGCCTACAAATACAATACATTATTTTAGCTATCAGAATTATTTTGGAACCCATTGAAATGTCCTAAAGTAGAATGACACTTGTCCGCTAAAGTAGAATGACGAGTGTCCTAATTCAAAGCATATAATGGTTTCTTACTTATTTTATTAGCTATGTTGGTTTTTTGGGGGGTTTTTTCAGCATACACTTATTATACAAAAAAACCCTCACATTGCACAATCTTGGATTTGCACAACATAGACGAAATAATTAAAACCTGATTGCGGGTGCATTAACCTAATAACGGGTTAAATTAATACCTGATTATGGGCGTTATTACCTAAGCAACATGGCTCGCGTAACTTTGATCAGATGTTCAATCATGACTTTAGCCTTTATTATAAGTTTTAACATTAAAGGCATGTTTGAACGCTTGACCTTTACAAGTAATATAAAATAAATAACAAAATCGGTAGCTGTTGTGCGAAATTTCCTCTCATTCACTTGCTTTACCGATTTGACGGCGAAGTATTCTTCGGCTCTAGGCCGTTTAGCAGGGGATTCTATGCTTTCCTCATCAACGGAACGTTTCCCTTCTCCTGTCTGGCATTCGGCCGGTTCGGTTGGCATCAGGATACTGTTGTCTGCCCACTCGCTGGCAAAACGTAGGCGGTGGGAGTCGGACTAGCTTTCGAGCAGACTACGGTTGATTGAATCACTCCCCGGTTCGGTTGGCATCATAATACTGTCATCAGCCCCCTCGCCGGCAAAACGTAGACGCTGGAAGTCGGAACAGCTTTCGAGCAGACTACTATCGATTGAATTACTCCGTGTCTAAATCGCCAAAGGCTGTCGCAAAACAGCCTATTTCTCCTCGTCAGTGAGATCGAACGCTTGCTCGAATATATCCAGAGCAGCTTCGGTCTCGCACTCGTGAATCATTTCATTCATCTATAAAATTAATAATAAGAAAGCATATATATAAACATATAAAAAACAAGTAAAATTTTTGGAAGAAAAAAAAAAAAAAAAAAAAAAAAAGAAGTTTTTACTTACCAATTGAGACATGTTTCAAACTTTTTGCTAAAATCGTCAGAAAATTGCTAAAATGATTGCAATATTTGCCAACAGTAGAACGCTGTTACTAGGACTAGAACGGAGTAGAACCAGTTTACGAATGAAGAAACGCGACGCTGAAATTCACATACAAACACACGCAAAGGAGCGTTCCGTCAGAACTTGCCCGCTTTAATTAATGACTTTTCGCTTGTCCTTACCATGTGTGCGATGCAAATTTCCACACATTGCTTTGAGAAAACCGCTAAAAATTGTATAGACCGATACTCTTACCAACTGAACTAACAGCAGAGCTTGTTTTACTTTTTAATTTTATTTTAATTATTATTCCTAGTACGAGTGCGAATAAAAATCAAAGTTTACGAATGAAGAGACGCGACGCTGAAATTCACATAGAAACAACGCAAACGAGCGTTCCGTCAGAACTTGCCCGCCTTAATGAGTTTTTCGCTTGTCCTTACCATGTGTTCCATGCAAATTTCCACACAGTTGCTTAGTGAAAAGCGCTAAAAATTGTGTAGCCCCACACTCTTACCAAGTGAACTAACAGCAGAGCTTGTTTTATTTATTTTATTTTATTTTATTTATTTGTGTTTTTTTTATTATTCCTAGTACGAGTGAGATATAAAAGTATGTTGCCAGGAGCAGGGGTCAAACGCGCGAAGTGCATCGCACAATAGATTTTAAGTCTAACACTTGAGGCAATGAATATTTAAAAAAAAATAATCTTCGGTCATCCACGGGGGAAAGTCGGCGACGGGTCGGGATGACGTCACCTTCGGACGGCATTCGGAATGAATATATAATGTGACGTAGGCATAATTAATGCTTTTTACGTATGAATATATAATTAGGGATGAAGGTCGTGAAGGAGTAAGACACAATGAAAACAATGAGGTTACATATATATATATATATATATATATATATATATATATATATATATATATATATATATATATATATATATATATATATATATATATATTTATATATTCTTTCTTTCCATTTCTTTCTGTAAATCAAGGTGGTAAATAAATAAATAACAATAATAATTATTATTATTATTATTGTTATTATTATTGTTGTTAACAGCAGAGCTTGTTTTACTTTGTAATTTTATTTTAATTATTATTCCTAGTACGAGTATAGTGACCTACCTAAATGAAGGACGTTTCACGTGGCGTCATGATTCGGTGCTTAACTTCATAGCATCCATACTTAAATCTGTGAACCATTGTAACCTTTATGCTGACCTTCCTGGCTATATCAGTCCATCTGTTATCACCGGAGATGAATTGCGCCCTGATCTTTTAATAACACTTCAAAACAAATGTATTTATATACTTGAACTTACCGTCGGATTTGAATCTAATCTCCTCACTAATGCAACTCGAAAAAGACAAAAATATCAAGATCTAATTAACGAACAGCTCAAAAATTATGACAAAGTGAAATTTGTAAATTTATCGATTAGCTCATTAGGAGTTTTCAGCCACACGTCGCTAGATTTCACCGAAATGCTGAAGGATCTAAAGTTTGATGAACAATGTAGAAAGTACTATGTTCGGAAAATTATTAACATATGTATCAGGTCCTCGTATTATATATTCTGTAAGCGTAACAAAGAATGGGAGAACCCACAACTAATGTCATACTAATATTGTTATTACGTAGAGTGTTAATTCAAGTAGACACTGGTAAACTACCTGTAAAGAGAGGTTTATCATTGTAGTGTGTATATATATTATTAAAAGTAATAAAGTTTCCATTATTATTTATGCATCACATCATTTCATCGACATCGAGCAGACGCTTCAAAACGTTGTCTGTACATGTCATCTGTTTAATTTTAGTGAAAAATTCTACTTGAATTGAAAACATTTTTCTACTATTTGTTCATTTATTTAATCAAATATGATTCACGCAAGCTTGATTGCACTATTTTCTACCCTAATGTTATGAGGATTTTGTGAAAAGAAATTTGTTTTATTGGGTCGTCATACGTGGCGTTGTAAAGATAGAATCGATTTAAACCAACAGTCCAAAAAAATGTAGTCCCTGCTGTTGAAATTCGCTCTCAAGAATGTTTACCACCAAGTTCGTAAAAAGCTCTCAAATGCTGTTGTGGTAAAGTGTGTAAAGGCGCTCGGGATTTAAAAATGCATCAGCGTAGTTGCAGAGTAATTGATGGCATACCTTAATACATGTATTAAAATTCGCGCAGTACGTATAGCTAGTGCTACTAGCATTCCGGCGGACCCATTGAATTTTGACAGCAAAAACACGCCATATAATACATGTATTAAAATTCGTGCAGTAGCTACTAGAATTGGCGCAAGTAAAGATAAAGCGTGCATGCGTTCAGTGAATTACCAACAAGAACTAAGACATTTATTGTATGGTTCTCATTTATCATGTGCTCATTAATTCTTATATCAATATTGGAACATGATCACGAAATACTGCGTAGCGCAAAATCTCCATTCTTCAAAAACGTATCGTTCAAGGCAACTGAAAGGCGAAGAAGATAATGATATATTGTATATGACTGCTTCACTACTCAGAAATGATCCACGATCATGATTTGATAAAGTTCAATATGGTCACGTGATTTTCTGTGTGAACCTGAGATACTATCTATAAATATTATTACTAAGTATCTGACATTAATCTAAATGTGATTAAAGCACAAGAGATGTTACCTATGTCTCATTTTATATTTTTATTTTTTCCTATGAAGGTTTGTTACTTGTTCAAAAGCGCAACTTTAATTAGGTTTCAAACAGTTTCTGCCTTCTGCTTTTTGTTGTCGAATTATTGATTTTCTTTGGATAAATCTACCGCTGAAACTGTTCTATACGAACTCTCTTGCTTCCCATTCCCTTGTCTATTACACAATAGCCAATCTCGTTCCCCGAGCCTGCGATCCTCGGGAAGGAAACCAAGGCTCTGGGATAATCCGTTGCCGAAAGCCAGGAATTCTGGCTAAGATTGAACTGCACATTTCATATCAACGGCCAATCAGATTCCTCCCTGAAACGGATTATCCCAGAGCCTTCGTTTCCTTCCCAAGGACCGCAGGCTCAGGGAACGAGATTGCACCATAGCACGCATATCATCATTTTCAGGTCAGTGTGAACGCCTGAGTAGGCGTCTTGTTTGATCTAAACTACCGAAAGTCGAAAATGTTGATTATTTGTTGGCCTGTAGTACCCCCAAAATTTACAGGCCGCAATATTTAATTTTACATTATGTAAGACCAACCTTTAATCTCACCATAGAAATAATATTAGATTCATGGAAAGTCTAACTTTTGAATTTTAGGATTTTTATTTCAACAATTTTTAAGGAACTTGGAAATCTCTATTTTAGTCTGTCATGAATAATGTCATTTCTATAATTAGAAAACATATTTGAAAAATGTGTAGATACCTTTTTACTTAAGGCTACTATTGTGTGGAACGATTTAGTTTTATCATTATTTTTGTTTGATGTATAGAGAGGTTTAAAAATCAGTAAAAATCCACTATTGAGAAACAGCAAAAATCATAATTTAGCCCTCAACTTGACCCCCCTGGAACTTTGCCAAAATGCAATTAGACTGAAAACAAAATGCATTTTGAAACAAACCTTATAAAGGCAATCTCAAGTACAAAGTTTGAGAGAAATCTATTTCTTGATCCAAAGAGGTCATGAGGTTCTTACAGAGACTGCCTCTTAATAAGTTTTTATTTTGCAAGTACAGTACAACAGTAATATGATCTATTAGCAATTCGATTTCAATTCGCAGGGACCTACAACCATAGATATCTTATATACACTAGATAGCGCATCTCTTTTAGTAAAATTGAAGCCAAGAATATTCCAGCGGTTACACCCATTTGAATAGATGGCGGCAATTTTGGAGTTTCCCACTCGCTAATAAACGCTTAAAAAACAACAATAACTTTAATCATTTGAATAGTTTGAAAATGTATTGGAATAGGTTTAACTTAATGTTTAAGTTATGTGTTTAAGAAATAGAAAACATACGAGTCTTCTCATTTCATGGGAATATCCTGAGACTGCAATCACGGTTTCAATTTTTGAATTGCAGAATAATTAGATGCGCTATCTAGTATATATAAGATATCTATGGATTATACCATTCATTGTATACACCTTTATATACTGTATACTGCGTGCATAAATTATACACGTCCTAATTACGCATTCAGTGACTTTTTTTAATTGACCGGGAAAAGCAAGACAAACTTTTCTTCATTTCTCGCTCAATTTTTAACCAAATTCAACCAAATTTTAATCATTTCTCCTTTGGCCGATGGGAAATGCATTCAAAAAAATTTCGTATGAATATGTTTGGTATTTTTTGAGTTATCGTGCTCACAGACAAATACACATACACACATGCACACACACACATGCACACACACATGCACATTGCACATACACACATACAAACACAGATGATTACATAACCTCCTGGCGGAGGTAAATATGGAATCTATAATTGCTAAACGAGTCCGCCAGCATCAGTCACCCAATCACGACAGCATGCACTCTCTATTCCAACTTCTCTTTGGACTTTGTGTAAACTATAGCATTTGCTAACTTTTCGAATATAAAATACAAATCACTTGAAAGCTGGAGAAATTTTATCCTCTTTTAGATTGAAATCATCGACCTGTTCATTTATTATTAAAGAGATTATATTCCTACGTTGCGACCATGCACGGATAAAGATTGTTACAGAAAACCAATCTATAAAATAGCATATTACATTCTAGTGGAAATTTTTCGAAAACTAACGAGATCCAGATAACTGCTCTAAATATTCATCCATCATCCAAGCGTATTTTTGAAGAATATGAAACTATACATGCAAAATACAAGATATACTTTTGAACTTATAGGTTCGTGTTGAAACGTACCTGGCAAACAGTAAAGAAAACCCTTTTTGTCATAAGGATGTAGATTCCAAACAACGAAAATCGTTTTAGAAACAAAACGAAGTTTATCCATGCAAGAAAAATTGAGATAGCACCAGCTGCAATCTGTGCGTTTGCTTTCGTACTTCTTCCAGGCAGCACGTAAATTACAGCACCAATATACATCACCCACTCAATGTAATTTTCGAAATCAATGAAATAATCGGTCTTGTTAAACTTCATCTATACAAGACAAATGTTACATTCATTAACATTATTTTTTTCACATTATTTTCCAAATATTACCTTTTGGGTTTGAAAGAGATAATTTGTTTGATTGTTATTCTATGAAATATATACAGTTTAAATTCCAATTTTATAGTGCATGCCTAATTCCTTCAATACTTTATGTTATTTTGTGCCCATTTTGGTTCACGCATCCACATGATATGTTCAAGAAAGGAGCACTTCAGTCTCCGAAATTATGTTTATGAAATTATGAAATTATATAATAATGTAAATGTATACAATTTTTTATCCCTTGTATACTTTTTTTGATATAGTCCGCCAACCTCACTTCATATTATAAATTTAATATTTTATTTCGAATTTTAAACAAGATATGTCCCACGAGTATAAGTAGGTATAAGGAACGTACGAGCAAAATATCCAGCCCAATAATTGCCCAAATGTTTGTTGTCCATTTGGGAAACGTATGGCATTATGAGTCCGTCATGCAGTCTTCAAGCTCCCAGTGTTGCAAAATGTTTTAGTCCCTCAATTTTGATGTAAAATTATGAGAAAAAGTTTATCAAACGTAATGCATGCTCACACATGCGTTGCGCCATAGTCACGGGTAATTTCAAGACTCAGACAATAGCTTTACATGCAGTAATTCCCGACGGGGGAAAAATACGATTTCGACCGCCATAATTTTTAAATCGGATTTTATCTGGCTATTTTTTATCGCAAATCGCAATGATACAAGAAATGTATCATTCGACATGTAGCTAGTTGAATACTCAGTTAGAAATTATCCTCACTACATATTCAAATTTAAAAACTTGATTAGCCTATATATACAACGAAACTCGGAAGTTAAAACATTTTACAAAACTGAAAGTTTGCAGGCTGAACATTTTATATATAGACAACCAATATCTGTTCAAAATTAATGTTCGATATTGGAAAAAAAGAGTCAGATACTTTTTATATAATTTCTTTTACATGCATTGCATGGATACCAACCTGAAGTACTTCTTTTATAAGATGAAATGCACATATAATCAAAATAATAACTGATAATGCAATCATTCCCGGCGATTTCAAGTTGTATACACCTGGAAAATAATCGTAAATTTATTAGAACTTACTAGTTTGTAAACTAAGTTGTGATAAATTATTTTATATAAAATCAAACTTGGACTATTTTAACCGTAATGAGAAATTTTAATAATTTATGGTAGGTTAAACTATATTTTATATATATATATATATATATATATATATATATATATATATATATATATATATATATATATATATATATATATATATATATATATGTCGAGGAAATTCACGATCTTTAGGTTTGTTTTGATCTTTATCGACAGTCCTTCATCTTTGAATTGCTTCGTGATGTTTTTCTTAATTCTTTCGGCTTGTGGTCCCGAGATGTTTTGTTATATGCAGCCAGGCCATCGTCTCTATATAGCCCTATGTTTCCTTTAATCACGGTCTCTTCTCTGACAATTTGTTCAGCATATACAGGCAAACAAGCTCACA